CGAGGCGGCCTACCGCGTCCGGCTGGAGCCTTGCCAGCGCGGCGCCTGCCGGTACCACGGGGTCGGGCCGGCCACCCAGCACCCCCACAGCGCGCTTGGGATCTGGGGTCCCTCCGTGTTCCCTCCCGCCAGGAGGCGCGGGGCGTTCCCTTCCCCTCCCCAGGTCCCGCGGGGTCGGTGGAGGCTCCCCCGTGTTCCTTTCCGGGGGACCCGCATTCCCCGGGGCTGGGGCGGCTCTCAGCACGGCCTCCTTGTGTGGCTCCCCTGATACAGGGGCCTCCCTTGGACTGGTGGGGAACCTCTGTCTCTCTGCTCACACATAGGGGACCGATCCCCGCCCAAGCTGTGGGGGAACCCCTCTCATTCTCTGGCTCCTCAGATGTCGGGGAGCTCCCCTGGGGTGGTGGGGTCCCTCCTCCCAGCCTGGCTCAGCAGGTACAGGGCACCACTCTGGTATTGTGGGGGTCCCGTTGTTGCTGGGCTCTTCAGATATAGGGGAGCCCCTCTCCTTGTTTGTCCCTCCCCATTTATAGGATAACCCTGGGGCTGTAGGGACCCCTCTCTCTGCCTGGATCTCCATTTATAGGGGATCCCTGTGGGCTGTAGGGAACCCATCTCCTTGCCTGAATATATGGCACTCACCCTGGAGCTGGGGCAAGCTGTGTCCCTGCCTGGCTTCCCAGATAAAGGGAGCCTCCTTGGTCCCATACTCGCTCCTAGGGTCCCCTTTTTTATCTAAAAACCCCTCTGGTTCTCCACCTCCTTCATCACTCACGACCGCTGTTTTTGGTGGGGGGGAGTGTTCCATGTCTCGTCCCATTCAACATTGTGTGCTTCCCCATGTCCCCAGTGTCACCCCTCCCAGCTCCCAGGGGACACGGGGGTGACAGCTGGGGTCTGGCTTCCCAGGAGGAACTGCCGGGGGAACCCCAACTGCCTGGTGGGCATTGGGGAGCACGTGTGGCTGGGCGAGATCGACGAGAACAGCTTCCACAACATCGATGACCCCAACTGTGAGCGCCGTAAGAAGGTAACCTCGACCCCCACCCCCAGGGCCCAGTGAGGACCCTGGGGGCGAGGGGAGGTGACCTTTCCTGGCCCTTTCTCTGCCCCCCCAGAACGCGTTCGTGGGCCTGACGAACCTCGGTGCCACGTGCTATGTCAACACCTTCCTGCAGATGTGGTTCCTGAACCTGGAGCTGCGGCAGGCGCTCTACCTGTGCCCCAGAGCCTGTGGGGATGGCATTCCAAAGGACACAGGTGTGTGGGAGAGAGGGATTTCCTCCTAAAAGCGCACACTGGGATAAGGTTTATCAGAATTAATGGGTGACGCTACAGCCGTACGTGCCGTCGCTGCACTGTTAATTTGGAGCCATCACCTGGATTTTGGGAATGAACCAGCCTTAATCCAAGTGATGTCTTAGATCAGAGCGAGATCTGAGCTGGTTGAAAATGATGCTTTGGTTTGGTCTTGCTTCCCAGAGTAGTCTAGTGGTGGTGCTGGGGGTAGAGCATGAGGGTCAGGGCTGGTCTGTGCTGTCACTTATCCCACAGCAGGGCTGAAATTTGGGCCCCAGGTAGGATTACAGCTCCCAGTTTTTTCTGCTCTTGGGTGCTTTCCCTGGGGAGGCTCTGGGTCGCTGCAGCCATGTCAGCTCTGCTGCTGTTTTATGGTGGTTGTGAATGATGTTTCACCTTCTGGGGTAAATAAGAGGCTGTTTTTCAGGGTAATTGGTGCATGGTGTGTACCCTTCACTCACAGCTTGTGCTGGGCACTGCAGGATTGAATAATGGAATCCCTAAGGTTGGAAATCTCCAAGGTTATCAGTCCAACCATTCCCCCCGTACTGCCAAGCCCATCATTAACCCAGGTGCCACATCCAGACAGTTCTATAGCACTTCCAGGAATGGTGACTTCACCACTGCCCTGAGCAACCTGTTCAGTGTCTGACTACCCTTTCCATGGGGAAATTTTTCGTAATAATGAACCTAGATCTCCCCTGATGCAACTCAAGGGCTTTTCCTCTCATTCTGTCCCTTGTTCCCTGGGAGCAGAGCCTGGCTCCACCCTCTCCAACTGAAAGTTGCAGAATATAAATATTTACAGTTGGACTTGATGATCCTAAGGGTTTTTTCCAACCTAAATTAATCTCTCTTTGTCTTGTGCTGGGATTTGCCATCATCACCTACATGATTCACTTCAGTTTTCCTGACAACTCAAACTACCTTCCAGCCCCATCACTTTTAGTGGCTGGTGAAGCACTTGGAGCGATCCCTTCTCACCCTCAGTTCCTGCTGTGCCTTGTGTTTTCCCCAGACTATGAGCCCCAGACCATCTGTGAGCACCTGCAGTACCTGTTTGCTCTGCTGCAGAACAGCAAGCGGCGCTACATCGACCCCTCAGGCTTTGTCAAGGCGCTGGGGCTGGACACGGGGCAGCAGCAGGTGTGTGGGAGGGGATTCCTGACATGATTCTGGACATTTCCAGAAGCTGGGAATCACCCTTGAACAGTCACTGGGCAGCTCCAGCTGGGCCTGGCTTCTGGGTGCAAACATACAGGAGGAGGTGGGCCCCCTCCAGAGTGCAGGGGACAAACAGGAGGGGAGCAGGATGTCAGGGGCACAGAGGCATCAGGAAGAGCCCAGGGAACAATGGGTCAGGCCAGGGAGATGAGGAGTCCAAGGAGTGATGTGATGGGGACACTGAGATCAGGAGGAATGGGATGAGGACAGGGAGATAGGAAGAACCCAGGGAATGATGGGATGGGGCTAAGGAGCAATGTAATGAGGCCAAGGAGATTGGGAGGAGTCCAGGGAGTGAGGGATGAGAGCATGGAGTGATGGGATGGGGCCAGGGAGACAAGGAGGAGCCCTGGGAGTGATGGGATCAGGACATGGAACAATGGGATGATGATGCAGAGATAAGGAGGAGCCCAGGGGCAGTGAGATGGAGACAGGGAGATCAGGAGGAGCCCAGGGAGTGATAGGATCAGGACATGAAATAATGGGATGAGTACAAGGTTGTAAGGAGGCGCACAGGGAGCAATGGAATGAGGCTAGGAGGTGATGAGTGCAGAAGATCAGGAGGAGCCAAAGGAGCGGTGGGATGAAGACCAGGAGCAATGGGATGGGGCCAGGTGGGAGCCAGAGCTGCAGTGAGAGTCCTTCTGCAGGTGTTCCTTGGGCTGCTCCTCCCGGGGGTGGGGACTGGACGGTGAAAGGGCCCTCCCTGGGGTGAGGAGGATGAGCAGGAGCCAGCCAGGATCCCAGGGCAGTGTGTGGGAGGGGAGTGCTGCAGGGCCCTGTGGGGCTGCAGCTGGAGGGAGTTTGAGAGGGGCGTGGCTGGAAATCCTCCTGGAGAGGTAATGGGAGGTTTTGGAGGAAAAGCTGGAGCACTGGCAGATGTTTCCTTGGGAGGGTCAGGAGGGGAAGGAAGCTGACCAGGGACACCAAAGGGCAGCTGAGAGAGGCCAAAACCTGTTTGTTTTTGGAAGAAGAGAACCAGGGTGGGAGAGAAAGGCCAAGCTGGGTGTGGGGAGGCTTTGGAGCATTGCCAGGATCACCCATAGGGCAGCTTCTCATTTTTGGGGTATTTTTATTTCTCTTCTCACCTCAGATGTGAGCAGGGAACAGCTGCAAAAATGAGGATCAAGGGGCTTGAAAGCTCCACAGGAGGGTTTTTATCCTTTCCAGAATCCTGGGAGGAGCGGGGCAGAAGTCAAAGCCCCTGGCAGGGCTGGCAGGGAGCCAGGGCAGCTCCTGCTGTGCTCCCACACTGAGGGCCTCACGCTCCTTTTAGCCAGATTCCTCTGTTTTCTGTAGTTCTCCTGCCTGGTCTTTATTTTCCATGCCATGCACGGAGCCTTGGCGCAGCCTGTGGGAGGGCTTGGGGTAATTAGCAGTGAATTAGTGACAGGGTTGGGATTGTGCTGTGGTGGATTGTTAATGAACTTGGTTTTCTCTTTCAGGATGCCCAGGAGTTCTCCAAGCTGTTCATGTCCCTGCTGGAAGACACGTTATCCAAACAGAAAAACCCAGCTGTCCGGAACATTGTGCAAAAGCAGTTCTGTGGAGAGTATGCGTATGTCACGGTGTAAGTAATAATAAAATAAAAAAGTAATCATTTTGGGAAGACCCTTTCTGTAAATACTTAAATTTTTAGAAGGATCTGGGAGGGGAAGATCTTCCCAACAACCAGAGCAGGCAGTTAAGTTGCAGCAGAAACACTTTCTGAGAAATATTTGCCTTTTCCTTTCTTGTTCTTGTGTGTGTGGTATTGCTGTGACAGTTCTCCAGCTGCTTTTACTCCTTTAATGAGAATTTTCCAACAAAACCTGCAAGTGAGTTGATGGAGTGGTAAGTCCTGCAGCCAGAAAACAGCATCCTGGGTGTTGTATTTTCATTCCTGTGTTCTTAGAGCTGTGAATTTCACCTTAAAAACAGTACAAAATGGTGCATGCAAGTTGTGACGGGTCCTGGTAGGTTCTGTTAAGCCGTTTAAACTTTCTGCTGGAGCTTTTATGGTGTGGAGGTGTGAATCTCCTTTAGCCCTGACTTCACTTTTTTATTCAAGGAATATTTTACTAAAGGCTTGGGAGCCCCAGCACATGAGCCCTATCCTCAGATATATTTTTTGTCTTCTTTCCCATCCCAGCTGCAACCAGTGTGGCAGAGAATCTAAACTGGTGTCTAAATTTTACGAGCTGGAGTTAAACATCCAAGGACACAAGCAGTTGACAGACTGTATAACAGAATTCCTCAAGGTATGAGCTCATTGGGGTTGGAAGCCTGCTATTTTTAGCAAGGAATTTCAATTCCTTCCTCCAATTCACAGCCTCCAAGGTTGGTGTCGGAGTGAAGCCACTGACTTGGCCCAGGGAGATGCATCCAAGTGAATCTGCAGACCCAAAAAATGAGGATTGAGGCGTGGAGCAAGGAATGGCTCCGTGATATCACATGCTCCTGTTACTGCTTTAAAAAGCACTTGAAAATTGCATTTTTAGTTAAAATACTTTGCCAAGAAAGCTAGTGAAAAATCTCTGCCTGCTTTGTAATGGATAGCACTGGGAGAATGTCTGCTTTCTGTGTTTTCTGTGTCAGTGCTCATCTGCATAGCAACAGGAGACATTCCCTGCTGAAAAATGTGCTCTCAGAAGTACCAGGGAGCACCAGGAATAGCTGCAGGAACAGCTGCAAGTGCTCTCAATTCAGCTTGAAAATTTGCTTGTATCTGAAGTTCAGTTCTGGCACACTAAGGTGTGGATTCCACTCAAACTATTTAGGACAGAACTAACCTGAACCCCTTCCCTGTGTTCCTTCCTTGCTGGTGCACTCAGCAAACCATTTGCTCTGCCTGGAAGGTCTGCTATGAAAAAAAACTGGTTTGGGTGCACAGATTAAATTCCTGAATTGGTGAACTTGACATTTGTCTGCTCCTCCTTCACACAAAACAGCCCTGTGACGTGTTTAGGGGGGTTGGAATTTTCCTCTGGCCTAATCCTGCCCTTGGATCTGCTTAGGCTGTGAGTGACTCCTGCAGGGTGGTTTTGGGTGGCTGAGCTGAGGGTTGTAGTTTCCAGGCTAAAATGTGACTTTACATTAACTGGGTCCAGGTGAACTCCTGAAAGGGGTGATTTAATTATTTTCCTTGGTATAAACCAACTCAGTCAAGTGAGGAGCAAGAGTAAGAGACCTGAGAACTTGGAACAGGGCTTGATTCAGTCTAAAATTTGCCTTAAAGTGAGAGCAGCCTGCTCTGGCCGTGCTGTAAAGTGCAGTCGTTAGTGTGTCTTTAACTCAGAAAAATTTGGGAAGCAGCTGAGAAGACTTAATGGTACTTCTCATTCTCCAGCTGTTGAGTAGCTCAGTTGACTTTTCAGTGCTGACATGTTCTCAAGACCTTTCCCTCTGCCTCTCCACATCCAGGAGGAAAAATTAGAAGGGGACAATCGTTATTTTTGTGAGACTTGTCAGAGCAAGCAGAACGCCACAAGGAAGATCCGGCTGCTCAGCCTGCCCTGCACCCTCAACCTGCAGCTCATGCGCTTTGTGTTCGACAGGTGTGTGGGAACACCCTGCAAGCCATCGGGGAAATCACCTACCCTGCTCTTCCTGCTTCAATTTGAGGGGTGACAGGGTGCCTGAGCCTCCTGGGGATGCTCAGGGGGGTTCAAGGGAGGTATTTTGGGATGTGAGCTGTTGTTGCTCTGCCCTGAGCCAAAGGTTTGCCTCTGCACAGACAAACTGGCCACAAGAAGAAGCTGAACACCTACATTGGCTTCTCAGAGCTGCTGGACATGGAGCCTTTCATGGAGCAAAAAAGTGAGTTTGGAGCAGTTTCTTGTTATCTTTGCCTCCTGCCTCTTGGCAGACCTCTTCTGTAATTCTCTTTAGGAGGAAATCCCTCCCTGTGAGGATGGTGAGACCCTGGAGCAGGGTGCCCAGAGCAGCTGTGGCTGCCCCTGGATCCCTGAAAGTGTCCAAGGCCACCTTGGGTGGGGCTTGGAGCAAACGGGGGTGGTGGAAAATGTCCCTGCCCATGGCAGAGAGGTGGAACAAGATGTGCTTTAAAATCCCTTCAATCCCAAACCATTCTGGGATTCTGTGGTTCCTCCGAATCCTCTTTGTGACTGAAAATTCTCTTAGCAATGTCCTGAAGCGCTGTAAGTTCAAGTGCAGGCTTTGCTGCCCGGTGAACACCCTGATTTCTAGGACAGGAAGGATGAGTGCTGTTGTGTGCAGAGCTGTAGGTGTTGTGTACTCGCAGGTGGTGTGTACGTGTACGAGCTGAGCGCTGTGCTCATACACCGCGGGGTGAGCGCCTACTCCGGGCACTACATCGCCCACGTGAAGGACCCGCAGACAGGCGAGTGGTACAAGTTCAACGACGAGGACATCGAGAAGATGGAGGGGAAGAAACTGCAGTTGGGAATTGAGGAAGATCTAGGTAAAACCTTTCAGTTGTGAGTGCCCTTTTAAAATAACTTTCTGCCAAAACCACGGGCATCCCCAGGTGCAGCCTCCTGCTCCTCCCCAGAATGCTCCTGCATGGGCTGTCAGGGCTTGGTGGAATGTGGGAAACAGCAATCCTGGTGATTGCAGCCAGATTTGCTTCCTTTCAGGCCCGTGTGAGTGTTTACACCTCGTGATCAGCTGTTCTAGTATTTCTCTGGCTGCCACATGGCAGATAAGAGCTGAGAACAGCGGGCAGCAGGGTCCTATCAGGGAGCAACAGGCGGGTGCCGCTTCCTTGGAACAGATAAGGAGAACGCTTTCAGTTTCCTTAACACATTATGGTTCTATTTCCACTGAGGTGTTTTATTTGGAGGCAGTAAAAAAGATTTTGATCCAATTAACAACTTGGAAGCTAAAACTGCCTTTTTACTCTGAGCTTTTTCCTTGGTGCTTTTCTGTTTTACTGTTTTGTCCTGTGCTGCCCAAATAACTGTGTTTCTGGCCTGGATTTCTTGACGTTTTCTTGGAAAGCTTGGGCTGAGGCTGGACCTGTGAGTTTCTCACTCTGCAGTCAATAAAGGAGCAGCTCATTTGGAGTTGAAATGGTTTTGTAGTGGCTCGGTGTTCTGTACTGCAGGTGCTCACAGCAGGGAAATTGTGAAGAAATTCACTTGCAGTGCAAGCAGTCCATTCCCAGGAATTTTTACCCACCGGGATGTTTTGCTGTGGTTGGAATCTGTGGAATGTTGTTTTTCTTTAAGACATCTTTGGAGAAAAAAGCCCCGCAGATTTAAATGCTCCCTTGTGTAATGGGCATCAGCCTTCTCCCATTTCCTTGTTGTCACCTGCACGATGAGGTGCTGGAATGTGCCCAGAGATGGGCAGTGGAGCTGGGGAAAGGTCTGGAGCACAGGGAGGAGAGCCTGGAGAACTCCTGAGGAGCAGCTGGAGGAGGTGGGGGAGCCCAGCCTGGAGCAAAGGAGGCTCAGGGGGAATTTCTGGCTCTGCACAAGTCCCTGACAGGAGGGGACAGCCGGGGGGATTTGGGATCTGCTGCCAGGGACAGGAGGAGAGGGAACGGCCTCAGGCTGGGCCAGGGGAGGTTTAGGGTGGATATCAGAGGAATTTCCCCATGGAAGGTGTAGTCAGGCCTTGGAAGAGGCTGCACAGGTGTAGTGGGTTTAGAGCTGGTTAAAATTGCTCATGTACTTACTGGAATTATTTACTTATTTTTTGCTGTGAGATATGAATTAGGAGGAGGGTAAAACAGGCTTAAAATTTAAAAGGTATGAAAAAAATCCCTTTATTAATAGAACTAGAAGAATAAGAATAAAAACTTTTAGAATACTTTTCTTCCCCCTGCCTGACTCTTTTTTTTTAACTGATAATGTGGAGGCAAAACTTGGGATTTTAAATTAGTTACTGTTTTTATAATAGTTTTTCATTAGTTTTTGTAGGGCGAGGAGGGTTTTTTTGTTAGGTTTTGGAGACATTTCTATAAGAAACAGTTTTTTGTTTATTTTATTTCTACGAATAGCAGCTGTCTGGGAAAAAAAGATTTGTAATTGTGGAGTTCTTATTTTTATAGCTTTTACATAGCTGAATTTATGGGTTATGTTAATTTATGGGGTATTGTTTTAAGGATGAGCTGTTTAAAAATAAAGGTTTTTTAAATTTATTTTTGGGATTATTATTTTTGAGAGCAGAGGTCTTCTCTCCCTGGGGGCAAAGGGGGTTGTTTGTTTTTTTTGTTTGTGTGTTTTGTTTTTGTGGAGTTTTTTAAAAGTTTTTTATGAGATTATAGTTTTTTTTAACATTTGCTTTGCTTAATTATGGTTACTTCTTCTCACATTTACAGTTTGAACATTTTATTCTTTTATACTTGCTTATGAATTAAAGGGGTTATTTTAGTGTATTGCAGTCTATTTTTATAGCTTTACTAAAAGAATTTTTAGCTTTAATACCAGGGTATTTTTTTTTAATCTGGAATTTGACTTTTTTTTAACTGACTTTGGTGTGTTTATGTTGTTTTTTACGTGTTTCTATTTTTTTTTTTTTCTTAGAGGATTCAGTTTGCAGGTCTGTGTAGTAAAGGGTTAACATCTCTCCCAGGCTGGCCCCACTGGGGAGCTCAGCTGCTCTTTAGGGCTGGAAGCAAGAGAGAGATTTCTCGGGCTTTTCAAAATGTAGAATTCACAGAGGTGGATCCAGGACACTTTTAATTGCTTTAATAGGTTGTTAATTTTTAGAGCTAGCTAGCTATTGGGTTTTTCCAGGCATAGAGGAAGCTCTTAGGAGCTTTTCCTCATAAAAAAACATTTCAGTGGATGGTTTCTTTACTAACTATCAATTAATGGAAAAGCAGCACAGCAGGGCAGTGTAGAGTCACCATCCCTGGGGTGTGAAGAAGTGTGTGAAGGTGGCACCTGGGCACAGGTTAGTGGTGGAGCTGGCAGAGCTGGGTTAATGGTTGAACTCCACAATCTTGGAGGGATTTTCCAGCCTGTGCCAGCAGCTCTGTCCCGTTCCCCCGAGCGGCTCCGCTCGCTGCCGGCCCAGGCTGGAGCTGGCCGGACATCTAGTGGTGCACAGGGAAACTGAGCCCTGGGAGGCACCAGCAGCAGCTCACACTTCATTTCTACCCTCCCTGCTCACCCAGTGCACAAATGAGATGTAAGTAAACTGCTGTGATCTCAATTTTATAGAGTTTTATGCTTAGCTGCAAGTAAATGTTCTTATTTCTTGTATTTCAATTCAAGGCTGTTTGGAGAATAGAAGTAAAATGTGTTTAGGAGCTTATTTAAGCTGGGAGCTCAACATTTGTATCAAGTTTTGATGTAATTTGCCTGTTCCAGGCAAAACTGAGGCCTTTCTTTGTTGTAAACACATGTAACAGCAAGAGAAGGTCAGTAACATAAACTGAAGGTCTGTGGCAGGGAGAGTCTTGGCCATGCAGATGGGAACAATTTAGAAAATTCTTGGATAAAATGCAAATAAATATAGTCTGGGAAGTCCCCTGGATGGTGTGGGGGGAGAGGCACATGAATTTTTTCAGAATTTGGGAAAAAGAAACTTAGTAATTCAATGGTCCATTTAGAGTTTGACTAATGGAACATTGTTCCTTTAATTTTTTCCTTTGTTTAAAATGGTTTGATTTTTGAAGCTGCAGCTGTAGATAAGTGTTTTCCTTGCCTGAGAATCCATCTGGAAACAGCAGCTCTTGCAACACAACTTTACATCCCCCAGCAGCTGCTCAAAAACAACCCTTTCCATGGCTCTTGGCTTCCTAAAAGCTTTGCTGTGTTTTTTACATATCCACAATCACCTGTAAATACTATTTTCTTCCCTGAGGATTTGACTCTTTTCTTTGGAGTTAGGACAGCAGAACGAGAGGCAAAAGGGAGAAGGGATGTTTTTCCAAGAGTGGCTTTTGGCTCAGAGAAGTTCCACTGGGGAGAGAAGAAAGGCTCTTGAGAAGGGAGGTTCAGAACAGGCTCCTAAATTTAGTCCCTTTGATTTACCCAGAAAGGCTGGAGAGATTTGGGGCTTTCTTTGGGATACAGTTTTGAGCCATGCCAAGCCCAGTGCTTGGCACAGAGGTGCAGCTGGCTGGGTGGCAAGCTCGTCCCGTGAATGGAGGAGCAGGGGGGAGCTCGTGTGTCGCTGAGGTTTTGCCTTTTGTTCCCACAGCGGAGCCGTCGAAATCGCAGACCCGAAAGCCCAAGTGTGGCAAGGGCACTCACTGCTCCCGCAACGCCTACATGCTGGTGTACAGGCTGCAGGCCCGGGAGAAATCCCTCACAGTGGAGGTGCCAGGTGAGTCCCGGGGATCCCACTCCTCCTGCAACCCTCCAGGTGGGCCAGGAGGTGGAATTTTGGGCTAGGAAGTGGCTGGAGCCCCTCTACTCTGGTTCCAGGCTGGGAGAGCTGGAAAAGGCCCCAGGGAGAGCTCAGAGCCCCTTCCAGTGCCTAAAGGGTCTCCAAGAGAGCTGGAGAGGGAATTGGGACAAAAAATGGAGTGCCAGGACAAGGGGGAATGGCTTCCCACTGCCAGAGGGCAGGGATAGATGGGATGCTGGGAAGGAATTCCTGGCTGGGGAGGTGGGGGGGTGAGGTTGTGGCACAGGGTGCCCAGAGCAGCTGTGGCTGCCCCTGGATCCCTGGAAGTGTCCAAGGCCAGGTTGGATGGGGCTTGGAGCAAATGGGGATAGAGGAAGGTGTCCCTGGGTGAAACAAAGTGATCTTCAAGATCCCTCCAAAGCCACTCCAGCATTCCATGGTTCTCGACCGTTTGCCATGAGCCCCAGAGGTGTTGTGTGGCACCTAGGTGTCTTGACCAGTGAAACCCCTGCGTTTTCCCAGCACTTAAATAACATTAAAATGCTAATCCCTCCCATGTGCCCACTCAGACATTGCTTTCTTTACCAAACTGGTCAAACTGGGAAGGGGTCAGGAGGAGATGATCCTGCTGGGATTCACTGCTGTGATCCTGCTGGATTCTGAATGTGCAGGAGAACAGCGTGGTTAAATGTCAGCAGCAGTGCACGAGGAGGTGAATAATCCTGACAGATGTCAGGTTCCCTCTGCGACTGCTTCAGCTTTGCCACATCAGGAATAAATGATGTGAAAATAAAGAGGTTCCAAGCCCCGAATGGAAATTTGGGCCGAGTGCCTTCATGTTCTGCTTTAGAATTATGGGGGTGCCAGAACTCCCTGTGGGCTTTGTGTGTGGGTTTAATGTTTCCTGTTTGGCTGCTCCTTGATTAGAAATTCTAATTAGGCTCCTGGTGCTGAGGTGTGTTCCCCTGCACTCATTTTCTGTGGAGGAGCAGGGACAGCAGAGCTGGCAGGTCCCTTTGGATCTCTGCAGATCCAGGGTTAAACCATACACACCTTCTTCCCCCCAGTAACACCCCAAGCCTTTCCCAAGCCCCCCCTGTTTAAAACATGCCCTTCAAGACATGAAACTTCAGGAATTAGCACTAATTCCTGCCTGGATCTGTATTTCCAGCCTGTTTCCTGAGCTTTCTTGCTCTCCCTTTCCTCCTACCCCTCTGCCCAAAACAATAACTCAACAAAAACCTCCCCACCCAGCTCCAAATTCCTGCACAGCCCCGCGGTTGCCTTTGTTTCCCGTGGATTCCTGCCAGGGAACAGGGAGTGAAGGGCAGCAGTCGAGCTCTCTGGTTGTGGGGAGGTTTCATGGAACTGTAAATTTGAGGCATTTTGCTTTGATGCTGTTACAAAGCGGCTTTTCCGGGACAGTGGAGAGACGTAACTTGGCTCTGATCTCAAGGAGGTCAGGCTGGTTATTTTTTAATACTGGATATTCTCCCAAGGTGGATATTTTGGTCAAGAATTAACCTTTTTGCAGATATTTTAGCTCTTCAGAATAATTCTAAATAGGAAAAGACCTGAGATAAGCAGAGCTTCCCCCCTGCTCCCTCCCACCAGCCCTGTGAGGGAAGTGGTTTATCTTCTTTTTTCCCTGCTGAGGTTTGGTTTGTTTGGAGTTTTTCCATCAGTGGCAGCAAAAATTCCCATTTCCCTCACCTTTCTGCTGATCTGCCCTGGCTAATCTCCCATATCCTGCGGGCTCTGTGCCCTTGGGTTTGCAGTGTGCTGATCACAGGTCGTGACAGGCTCCTGGTGTATCCAGAGGGTGAAAAGCTTTTGTTTCCTCCCCGGAATGATGAGGCAGGACAGAGGAGCTGCTTTTAGCATCGCAGCCAACCCCCAAGTAAATTATTTTCTTGGGTGCAAAACTTTGCATTAAATCATCTGCAGCCATCAGTATCAGAGAGAGCAACGTCCGTGTGCTCGGCTTGGGGAAAGACCTTGCCCAGCAAGGCTGCAGGAGGGAATTTTTCAGTTTGCTATCCCCAGATAACCCATGGTAATTAACATAGCTGACATTTTCCCTTCAATTCCTGTTTTTTTTTGTCTTTCCCAGCTTTCCTGCAGGAGCTGGTAGAGCGGGATAACTGCAAGTTTGAGGAGTGGTGTGACGAAATGGCCGAGATGCGCAAACAGAGCGTGGCCAGAGGCAAGATCAAACACGAGGAGGTGAAGGAGCTCTACCAAAGGTTACCCGCCGAAGCTGGTCTGTAAGACATTGTGGAGTATTGCTGTAGTAGAGCTGTTAAGCTTGGGAATGATTTGTGACTAACTCCCAGCTCCTGTGGCCTTGCTGGAAGGCATTCCTGCAGCTGTCTGCAAGGAGAGAGCTTCATGCATGCTTACATTTGTTTTCCCTTGCTTCTTTTCCTGCCTTAACCTATTTTTCTCCTTTCTTTGCTCGTTCTCATGGCCTCTGGCGTTGCTAATTCACTCCTGCTTCTTCCCCATTCGTCAGCCTCATGCTTTGTGACTCTTCTGCCTGGTGAGCAGCTCAGCTCATTAGGGGCATCGAGGCAGAATAACTGCCTGCTCCCAAATTGCCAGCTTGTGGCAGGTTTGGGAGCTGGTGAGCCCAGTTCATCAGCAGGTAACAGACCAAGAGAATGCCTGACCTCCAGCAGAAAATTACTGGATCCATCCCTGCCAGTGCTTCACTGCTCCATGTCTCAGTTTTGTAGGAAGACTGGGGTTAAGATTTTTCTCCTTGTGTCCTGTTGCCTCAGCACAAGGAGTTTTGTTTCCCACCTTGTTTTTCTCTCCTCAAAAACTGATCAATCCATCCAGTCCAGGAAATTTGTCTTCAGTATGTGCTTCCCCTAAAAACTGCAGGATAATTATAACTGAAGACTTAAAAGTTGGTTTAATTGTATGGCCTGTAGGAGAATTCACTGTTCAGGTTTTATTATTGGATGCTCAGAGCCCACCCTGAGATTGGAGTAACAGCAAACTCCTGTTGCTGTAAACATCTGCCTCTGCAGTTTGGGAGTGCAGATGCTTAACTCTGGAGCAGGAAGGTGTCAGAGCTCCTCATGAGGCTGAGCAGCACTCAGGTGTCAGTGTGAGATCAGAGCTGTGCTGAGGGATGAACCTGCCCTGAGTCACTGTTCCAGTTTGGTTTCCCTCAGCAGGAACAGAAGAGTTTGCTCTCGGCAGTTCTGATGTGACAGAGGAATAAATCTCAAAAAATGTGTTTTTTACTAGTGCAGGTGAAGCTCTTCTGCCCCAATTTAGAGATGACAGGACCTAAAACTTTGCCCTGAGGCAGCCTCTTCCTGCTGCTGGCACATCGTGGGCACAGCACTTCCAGCACAGCTGGAGGCAGCATCATCCAGCACTGCTCCAGGTCCTGTCTCTGGAGCTTGGGGATCTCTCTGCAGCTGTGCAGACACATTTTCTGCCAGCTTTGTGGAGCCTGCCCCAGAAAACCCTCCTTTCTGGGGGAGGCAATTTCATCCCAAACTAGCAAACCAGTTCTGACAGCAATGTAATTCTCTGGAGGTCACGGCTGCGGAGGGCATTGCGTAAGATGAAAACACCGTGGATTGAGGCTGTGGAGGAAAAGAGGCTTCACAGAGCTCCAGTGCAAGCTGCTGGCACAGTGTTTTTCTGTCTTCTTTTTCCTCTTGCTTCTCTGTTGCTCCTTCCTAGGAAACATGAAGGATTTGTGCTCAGTTATAAATGTTCCCAACAGATACGTTTCCCCATGGTTTCAGAGCTGTCCTCGTGGCAGCACAGATTGGGTTTGAATTCTTCCTGATTTCCTCTTGATATCCCAGTCATCCCACAGAAGAGTTGTGTAGTGATACTGTGCCTCAGTATTGAGATACAGGGGTTTCACCCCAACCTGCTCCTGAACCTCCATTTTCTACTTCTCTTTCAGCAAACAAGGGCAGGCCTGCTGCTCTGCTTCAGCAAAAAATCCAAGTTTCCATTTGCACTGTAAATTTTAAAATTTTCTCACCTAAAATCATAAGAGACATTGAAAATTTGGGTGCTGAAAGAACAAGGGGAGCACTGACTTATTCTCTGCTGTTGTTGCCTTTAATTTTCAAATTGCCCCAGTGAACTCTTTCTGTTGTAGAAGAAGCCTGTAGTGTATGATGATGATTTAAATATTATATCAGTCCCTTGATGGATGATAGGAAATCCCTCCCCTTTCTTTGACTGCTCTCCAGTAATCCCCAAAAGGTTTGAAAGCACTCCCATTCCTCCTTGGAGCTGTTGCATATTGATTGCTGAATCCAAAATGATCTGCACGTCTTTCATGTAGCTCCTGTCTTCCAAATCTGTGACACTGAGATCAGAATAGGCTGGGAGAAACTGGATCAGACCTTTGCAAACTTGTACCTCAGAGATTTAATCAACAGTGATTACCTGTTAATTTTTAAGAGTAATTATGAAATACCACCTGGTGTTGGAGCTGACATGTATGCTCTTTTTTCTCTTTGCGGTTTCTCCCCTCCCAGGTTCCCCCTACGACTTCATCTCTCTGGAATGGCTGCAGAAGTGGCTGGATGAGTCCACTCCTCCCAAACCTATTGATAACACAGCCTGCCTGTGCTCCCACGGCAAACTCCATCCCGATAAAATATCCCTGATGAAGAGGATATCGGAATATGTGGCCGACTTCTTCTACCGGCGATACGGAGGAGGGCCCCGGCTCAACGGTAACATCCTCTCCCAGTCACCTCCTGGGATGTGGTTTGGAGCCTTGTTCTGGTCCCAGCCCTCCTTTGAGCCATCCTTTATCATCCTAACTTCATTTCAGTGCATGGCTTTGGTGCTGCTTTATTTTCAGGAGATTTTTTTAACATCATTTAATTCTGTTACCATTTCCCAAACTCATTTAGGGTGATTGCAGGGTCTGATTTGGCCCTGGGCTCTGCTCAGGGGAAGGGCTGTGCCTGGAGGAATTGCTGTGGAGGAATGGGGTACTTTGCTTAGGAAATTCAATACTTGGATGGTTTGAAGGCGATTCTAGAAAATAAAGCTTGCACATGCAACACTCCAAACTCTTGATAGTTATTTTCTGTGCCTGCAGCACCCACAGCGCCTGCGTGGGCTGGGTCTCATGGAGTATTCAGGCCAAAAATACCCCTTCCTGTCTGTCACCTCATCCAAGGAAACACTTACCTGTTAGCTTGCTCCTGTTGAAGCATCTGCCACACATTCTGCTTTTCAGGGTCAGCCCAGCCCCTCCAGGCTTCGGACATCCCCTCTTCAGTCCCCAGCTTTCCTTCCTTTTAGGAAGTTCCTCAGTAACTCCCACTGAGACCAAATTAGCGCAGCTCCTGCTGGGAGCTTGTAGGGAAGAAGCTGCTGGTGAGGCAGAAAGCCTTTGTGGGGAGAAACAGGGCAAGGTTTATCAGTCAAGTGGAAGATTGCCTGAAGGGCTGTGGGTTGAGTGTGGCTGGCAGGGAGGGAGGGATGGGTAATAGGATGGGTGGGCATCTTTTCTGCTTCCCTTCTCTTGCTTCAGGATGAAAATCTAAAACACGCCCAGCTGGAGGATTTCCACTGCCTTGGTCCGGTGCAGGAGGGTGTTTTTTCTGGGTTGAGCTGGCAAAGTGCCACAATAATACAGGTGTTTGTTTTCCTGGCATTTCCTGCCTGCTGCAGCTGGGTGCTGCCCTGGCTCCCTGTGACTGAAGGCTGTGGATACCAGGAGCTGTGAGAGCAGACTTGGGAAGCACTGGAACAGATCACACCTCATCTGAAGTATTTCTGTGCTTCTTTAGGCTTCAAACATGGCCTGATGTGGCTGTAACCCCCAACATTTCCTCATTGACATGTGAAATCACCCATCCTGAGGCAGGATAGTTGGTACACGCCTGTCTGAGGACATTTAAACCATCAGGAAACTACCTATGCAATGAATTATGCAATAAATAGTGTAAAAAACTGTGTTTCTTTTCCCCCCACCCAGTCAAAGCACTTTGCAAGGACTGTGTGGTGGAAAGGTGTCGAATCCTGCGGCTGAAGAACCAGCTGAATGAGGACTACAAAACCGTGACCAACCTGCTGAAGATGACAGTCAAGGGGTATGGAAGTCCCAAATGCTGTCAAAGATGCTTTTTAGAGCTGCTTAAACAGCTTTTCCCTTAAGATTTCCCTGTCTGGGCTCTGAGGAAGGGAGCTGTGGTTTTGGGGTGCCAGTGCTGTTGTCTCCCTGCAGGAGTGACGGGTTTTGGGTTGGAAAAGCGTCCTTGAGGAGCTGGCGTCAGCTGGCTCTGGAGCAGTTAAACGAGCAGGATGAAGATGCAGAGCACAGTAATGGCAAAATGAATGGAAATGCACAAAACAAAGGTATTTACTCCTGATTTCCTCCTAATTTCTGCTGCTGTAGAGACCCACCAGCTCTGCCTGATCCCGCCTAACAAAAGACGGTGGGGGTTTCTGTAGCTGTTTTGTTCCTCTTGTATGAGTAGGGAGGAAAGGATAATAAATGGAATAAAAGAGGCCTTCATTTAAGGAGCTTTTTCTTTGCTAAGCTTGAAAACTGCGGGGTGATCTTCATGCTGGAGAGGGAGATGAGGTGATAAGTGGTTTTACAAAGCTGTGTGAAGTTACCACCCCAGACACATGATCTTTTCATCCACTTTTCTCTGAATGAGCACAGGGAAGTGAAAATTACCTTGGAGAAGGGATGATGATGATGTTTATTGTGAGGGCTGAGGAATAAAACAGCACAGCTGATGCAGCAGCACTGGGAAAACACAGCCTAGGAATAAAAATCATGAATTGCACTCCATTCTGTGCCCATATCATGAGAATAGATGAAGATTTTATTTGCCTTCTGCTCTTTAAATGTTTGAAAATCACATTTTGTTGAAGCGTGTTGGAATGGTAGAATGGGAATGATGGCTCAGGGCACCAATCTTGGGTTGGAAGGCTGGAGGACACCTCAGCCCCCCGATAAAGAAAAGGGTGTTTCTGAGGTACCACTCATCGTTCCTCGGTGCTGACACTGACTCACAAGAGGCTGCAACTCCCAGTAGTGCATTTGAATTACTCACGAGCCAGGTTGTTCGTTAGGCAGCTCGTTAGAGGCCTTTGCTGTCATGTCATTGTCTTTATGATCCTCCATTCAGTGGCCAACCTTGTCTTTAACTAATTTAGAGATTGATATAGGGCTTGTCAGCCCCCTGGCAGGCTCCCCTATGGTTTGTCAGGCAGCATCTGGTTTAGATCAGGAATTTTGCCAGGAATTCTGCTCCTTCTGCTCTTACCTAGGCATGTGTTTAGGTTAAACTGGGAGATGTCTGGGAGCAGGGAACCCCTGCCGTGTTCCAGCCCTAACAAATGCATCCTTTGTAATCTCACAAAGGCCTGGCTTGTGCTCCATGCACTTCAAAGCCCTCCTACGTGGCTTGGAGGCTGTAATCCCGCCTGCCCAGAGGCCAAGACATCGGAGAATAACAAATTTCCTTCCAAATTTTCCCCTGGGTGAGGGGGTTTACTGTTATTTGAAAGGCAACCATGCTCCTTTCCCTGCAAGACTTTTTTTTCCTTGGGAGAGGAACTCTGTGCAATCCTCTTGTATTATTATTTTTTTTTTTAATTAGATGAATCAAATGAAGAGAAGAGGGAGGAGGAAGAGGAGTTAAATTTTAATGAAGACATCGTTTGCCCACATGGTGAGTCTCTCCGGGGGATGGAGATGAATATCTCTCTCCCGTGTTGCTGCACACATGAACCTTGTGGCCAGCTTGAGGAGTCACTGCTGAAGTGTGCTTTTAATTCTCATTTTCCTGGTGTTTTTTGCATTCAGAAGTATTCCTTTACAGGCAGACTCTGGTAAGGACTTGGCCAAGCAGAGCTTCCCTCCCTTGCATGGGCAGCTCCAAAGCTCTGCAGCCATTTGGAAGCTCTAAAAGCAGTAAGAGAGGAAGAGGTGGTGTAAATCAGTCCAGGTGGGAGCTGAGAGTATCTGTTCAATATCCTGGTTTACATTAAAACAGGATCACTCAGGCAACACCTGGGCCAGGACCACTCCTGGAGATCGATTTCCCAGCCTGCTGTGCTTTGGTGTCTGTTTACGTAAGGTTTTGACCTCCTATCAGTTGTTTTGCAAGTGATGCCTCATTAGCTGCATCCTTGGCTACCCTGTTGTTTTAATCTCACTTTATAAAGTTTGTGTTCCCAGCCATAAAACCCAGTTTTACTTAAGCTCCTGTTTGTAGGCATCAGTTTGTGGGGAGGCTCCATCTCATCTCAAACAGATAAGCATAAATTAGCTGCACAGCTCCTGTCATCAGAGCTACTCAAGAGCCTGGAGTAAGGCTTGAGAAGTCTCATTTTCAAGCAGAGTGTTTAAGCACTTTGTCACGATTTTACTGTTACTCAGTGCCTTGAACCTTGCATTTCCCATTGCCTCGAGGCTGCTGCTGTTCAATGAAAGCATGGAGCGAACATTCATGGAGCCAGACACGATAAAAAATAGGCCAATAGGCCTTTGGAAAGTGTATGGTGTTAAATTGCTGGTTGATCTGTGACTTGGGGTCATAGCAGAATAAATAATACTAAATAAGGGGGCTGCTGGCAGGGCAGGTTTTGTTGTCTTGAGTTAACCTCTGATTACTCATGAAAAACAAGCGTTCCACCATGAAAAACTCCCTCTGGAGTGGATCAGACAATCTGTAGTCTTGTTCTATGGCCTTAATTTTGTGGTGGAGGAGGTTCCTGCCTCTGGTAGGCTCTGGAAAAGGCAGTGCTGGGTCTGGGAGGGCTGGCTGGGCTCCAGGCATGCCACCCAGGCGTTCCCTTCGCAGCTCCCTTTGCATCCCTGCTGCAATTCCTCGCTCTCCAGTAGCTGCCTGATCCCAGTGATTTTTTTTCTAGATACCAAGTTAAGATTTGGTTGATGTCCATGCCCAGAACGTGTCCCTGGTGGGAGGGTCAGCAGTGGTCAGGTTCGTCTTCCAGATGGCAAAACGCTTGTGCCTGCACACCCAGAGCTGAGTTTTCCACCTCTTTCACTCACCCTATTAATCTGTTTTCATTAATCATGTGATGTCAAGGCACTTACTTACACAAGCTCCTTTTTTTCCCCATCCTCCCTGGCTCTGGGCAGCATCCTGGGCCAGTCTCCGGAGCTGCTTGGCCTTGTTGGATGAAGCTCAAGTGGCCAAATGCTGCATCGAGGCCCGACCTTTGTTTATTAGAGAAAAAGCAAGAGGGGAGCATTGCTATTTTTTTCCTCTTCAGGGCTGGCCAAATTCCAGGCTCAGCTGGAGGGAGTCCGTGGGCCTGAGGAGCTGCTTGTCATGTTAAAAGAGCTGCTGGAGGGTGGGGAGGAAGGAGTTTCTCTCCCTCTCCCCTCTCTGCAGCTCTCCAGGCTACAGAAAAGCAGATAATAAGGGACACCACAGTTGCTGTTTTCCTGCCCTCTGGCTGGTGCAGGCCCCAGTGAGGCACGGATATTCCCAAATCCAGTTCACATCCCGGTGTCACAACGGCTGCTCCTTGTGTTTCTCCTGCAAGTCCAGATGTGACAGATCCTGGGCAGATCCTGGAGCCTTGTCCGGTTTTTCCAAGCCTGCTTTATCTGGCCAGCATGTGTCACTTGGTGTCCCAGTGCCTGAGTGTGTCTCCTGCTTCCACCCCTGAGACAAAAGGCACAAATGGCTCCTGAAAATCCTTGTTGGGGTCTTGGAGCTACCTGAGCACCAGGATAGATAATCCTGATATCAGGATAAATAATCCTGATGGATAGATAAGTGTTCTGGGGGCAGCTGGTAAATCTTGCTTGGATGTGAACATGTAGTTATTCCCTAGAGCAGGTTTAGGGTGAAAAGTCTGCCCTTTTCACATTTTCAGGTATTTGAATAGGGCACATTAAACTGTATTGAGATTCTGCAGTGAGAATTTGGGTTTTCAAGGGTGTGGAAGGCTCCTGGTTTCGTGGGACACAGGGTTATTATCCTGAGGCTCAGCACATGGAGTCACCATGAGAATGTAGCTGAGGATAGCCAGGATCAGAAATCCATGCCCCCGGCTTTTCCCCACATCCCTACTTGTGTTTGATCAGCTGCTTAGGCCATGATCTTGGAAATCTAAAGGGCATTTTTATGAATTAAAGTCACATTATTATTATTCTCTTTCTAAAGGAAACAAGGAGGGAGCTGAAGGTGACTTTGCTGTTTTTTGCTGACGTGGTGTTGTGGATCCATAAATGTGTGGATTTCTTCCCCACATTTGTTCCTTGTAATCTCTTCAATCAAGGGCTGCAAAACATCCCGGAGCATGTTGTGATCAAAGCCTTTCCTTGATTCTCTCCCTGCAGGTGACCTGTGCATCTCTGAAAACGAGCGGAGGGTGGTTTCCAAGGAGGCCTGGGAGAAACTCAAGCAATATTTTCCAAAAGCCCCCGAATTCCCAAATAACAAAGAGTGCTGTTCCCAGTGCAAGGTATTTGTGAAATACTCCCCTTTTGTTGACTGTAAATAGTGGTTGTACTTCTGGTTTTCCTTTTTAATACAACCCTGTGCCATGCAGGAGAATAAAGTCACCTTTAGTAGCAGCTGGCAATGGGAGCTGGGATGTAATTAACTGTTTCCTGCAGATTTTGGAGCGTGAAGGGGAGGAAAATGAAGCTCTGCATAAGATGATGGCCAGCGAGCAGAAGACTTCACTCCAGAATCTGTTCCATGATAAATGCAGACCTTGCCTGGGCAGCTGGCCTCAGGTAGGGAAGGAGGGGGATCAGGGGGTGCAGCCAGGCTTGGGAGAGCTTTTTGTTGGCTTTAATCCCTCTCCTGCCCAGGGCAGCTGTGGCTGCCCCATCCCTGGAAATGTCCAGGGCCTGGTTGGACATGGTTTGGAGCACCTGGGATAGTGGAAGGTGTCATCAAGAGATGAAGGGAAATTAAGAAGTGTATATATATGTATATATATATATATTGCTCAGGTGTGCTGAGTCTCCCACAGAAAGATGGGGCGAGCCCTTAAGTCTGTCTTTGGGAAAGGGGTGAGGAGAATGAAGAGCATGGAAGTAATTTTGTCACCCAACTCTTGGGGGCTGGGTGATTTCTTGTCCAGGAGCAAACAATTTAAAGGAAGACTGGGACAAAAACCCACAGATTATCCCAAAAATGCTGTCTCATTTGGTGCACAGCTGTGGTTTTGCATCCCTGCTGCTGCCAAAAGGAAAATCTTGTGGATTTTGACGTTGGAAGCAATTGAGGGTGTTGGGGTGTTCTCACCCCGTGTCTGTGGGAGTGCAGGGATTCACCAGATTCAGATGCTGAGAGAAACAGTGCTGGGGAGTCCTGGCTGCTCCAGGGAAATGCTCTTTCCCGCTGGGAATTAAAAGTAATTGGATCAAAAGCTCAAGTAACTTCATAATAAACACAAGATTAGCAAAGGCAGTGCTTAGTACCTGATCCCAAATTATTTTCCTTGGCTTTCACAGCCCACTTGGATGGAGTTGTCATGGTAAAGCAGCACTGAGGTCTTGATGGGAGCGAGTGCTGCTGAAAAACCGAACAGTCATTGTTGGGTTCATTAAAAAGATCCTTTTTCCTCCTCTTTTTCCCCAGGAGACAGATGAGCTGTATATTGTCTCACAGTTCTTTGTAGAAGAATGGAGGAAATTTGTCAGGTAACTTGGGTGGAGGGTTTTGGTGCTTTTTATCTCTTGTTTTGGGGGCTGTAGATAATATTTTGCTTCTGACTCCCAGCACAGTGAGCTCCCGGAAACAATGAAGCTGATTTTTGCAGGACTTGTATAAATTGTAATAGAGTGTAAGACACAGAATTTCCTTGTTTGCTGTGTGTTAACCAGATGGTCAGATTAGCTGGTAACCTGATTAGTTTTTTCATCTGTCTGGAGCTGTGTCCCAAAGGTCACCGCTCGGGCTGGAGATGGAAATCTCTGCTGGACAGAGTCATTCTGCATCGCAGAGGAACACAGACCTCATTTCCTCATCACTAGTAGTTACTGTTCCTTGTTGGAATGCCTTGTGTAAATATTCACCTGTGCTTTCTTGCTGGAGAGTTGTGGGGATGTTGGTGGGATCACCTGAGCCAGCTCTCCCTGTTGCAGGAGGCCGACACGCTGCAGCCCCGTGTCCTCCATAGCAAACAGTGTCCTGCTCTGTCCTCACGGGGGGCTCATGTTCACCTTCGCTTCCATGACCAAAGAAGACTCCAAACAGTGAGTTTCTTCCCTTCACACCCTTTCCTTCTGCCAGGAGCCTCGGGAGAGCATTCCCAAAGGAATGTTCTTGCTGCTGAGCCGCAGCAAGATGAGGAGTAATCCTTTCCCTGAAAATCAACGTTGAGGCTTTCTCAGAGCCACCTCTGCCTTCCTGCAAGGCAAGACTGAAACTGCCCAAGGATGCTTTGTCAGGAACAAAGAGCTTCCTTCAGCTTGGTTTGTTCCTGACCATCGCCACCCTGGATTTGGCCAGGACACAGAAAAACCCTGCTTCTTTACAATGTGCTTTCTGTGAGCCTTTGCCAGAGTGCTGGCTGCAGGGCTGGACTTCATGCTCCATAGCCTTGCTTCTGCAGTGATGCAGCACTAAAAGCAGGGAATCTTCCACTCCTTTCCTCCTCCATCCCCTCCTCCAGCAGGATGGGAGCACAGCAGTGTCACTGATCACAGGCTGCTGTTCTCTGGGTGTAGCTGGGTGCTGGGTGGATTTTGCATTTCTTTCATTGGCAGACCAGCAAGCCAAAGAGGAAGGGTTTCTTGGGAGTTCAGGGCTTGGCTTTTCCATGTCATAAAGCACCTGCCTGTTCCTTTGCACAGTATAGCTCTGATATGGCCCAGCGAGTGGGAGAGGATCCAAAAACTCTTTGTTGTGGATCACGTCATCAAAATCACCCGGACACAGGCAGCTGGGACCGGCCCTGAGAGCGCCTGCTTCACCTCTGAGCCCCGTGAGTGACCCCTGCTCCTGGGGTTAGAGACTTGTAGGGTGTCAGTGGGAAACAGAGCTTGGCAGATTCCCCCCAGCAATGCTGTGTCCAGCTCTTAAGCACAGGAAGGGTGTGGAGCCACTGGAGAGAGCCCAGAGGAGCCCACGGAGGTGCTCTGAGAGCTGGAGCCCCTGGAGCCAGGCTGGGACAGCTGGGGGTGCTCACCTGGAGAAGAGAAAGCTCCAGGAAGAGCTCAGAGCCCTTTCCAGTGCCTAAAGGGGCTCCAGGAGAGCTGGAGAGAGACTGGGGACAGGGGTCTGGAGTGCCAGGACAGGGGGAATGCCTTCCCACTGCCAGAGGGCAGGGTCAGGTGGGATATTGCACCTTGGCTGTAAGGATGGTAAGGCCCTGGCACAGTTTGCCCAGAGAAGCTGTGGCTGGCCCATCCCTGGAAGTGTCCAAGGCCTGGAGCAGCCCAGGATAGTGGAAGGTGTCCCTGCCCATGGCAGGGAATAGGATGGGATCCTAAAGGTCTCTTCTATCCCAGACCACTCTGGGATTTGATGTGGTTCACTCTCTGTTAGCAGTGGGAGGTGCTGGGGGCCCTGAGGAGCTGGAGCAATTAAATGTTTTTTGCCTTGATGTTTGCCCAGAGCTGTGCCCTGAGTGCCGGGAAGGGCTCCTGTGCCAGCAGCAGCGCGACCTGCGTGAATACACCCAGGCCACCATCTACATCCACAAAGTGGTGGATAACAAAAAGGTGAGGACTCTCCCCATCCCTGCTCAGCCTGGCTCCAGGCACCCCAGAAATGCCCCGAGAGGGCTGTCACAGCTCCCATGTCCCCCACCCCCATGGTGGGGACCCTGCTGGTCTGCGCTGGTGGTGAGGGCGGAAATCTGGGCAGCTTTGGCAAAACCAGCAAATTGGGACATTCTGGCTCTGAAAATTCCATCTCCTCAAGGCTTCCTTTTGCCAAACCAAATCCTTTGTGTTTCCAGGGATGCTCCCAGCTGTTTTCTCTGTCTTAGCTGTGTTCCCAGGCTCTACCTGCTCTCCTCCCCCTCCAATATTTGTCATTTCCTTTCTTCTTGCTCAAGTGACATTTTTATTCTTTGATAGAGATGAGCTCTTCCCCTCAGTGCTGGTGAGACAATGGACTTGGAGATGGTTCTCAGGATCCCCTGAAGTTGTGAATTTTGTTTTTACTGATCTTAAGTGTCAGGATCAGCTCTAGAACTGGTTTACCAAGTAGCCAAAGCTGCTTCTGGTAAACCCCCCTCCTTAGGGCTCTTAAGAAGGGTGCCAAGGGTGGGCAGGCTCGGATGAAGACAATCTCTTCACCTTTGGAGTGTGGGGTGGGATTTTTCTGGCCTTGCCTTGATTTCCACATCCCTGCCAATCCCAGGGAGGCGCTAGAAGCCGGGGAACCAGAGGGAGCTGGAGGCTGGATGCGTTCCTGCCTCGGTTGTGAGATGTGGATCACGCAGCACCGTCTGGAGCCATCAGCCACGGGCTTTCAGCCTGAATCCCTCTTGGCTCTGCTGCACAAGAGGGTTGGGTGTTGTGTTTTTCTGGCGCTGGACAGGGCTGTGCTCACATGTGTGGCTGGCAAAAAAACAGGGAGCTATTCTTTGTGGAGCAGCTGGAGCTGGAGAGAGGGGGTGCAAACGTGCCCACAAGATCCCCCAGTAACAGGGCAGCCTCGGCAGGATGGGGAGCAGCAGGAATGCTGGCCAGGATCACTGCTGGCAGCACTGGCAGCCACTGTGCCCTTCCTGCTGGGCTTTGCAAAATCAAGGAGTGTTTCCCAGCCCCTCACCCCTTTTCCTCCTTCCTCTGCACCACCTGCTTCTTTCTTGGGGTGAATGGTGCTGCAGAGGGAAGCCTCACCCAGATAAAATCATTGCAAGGTGGCACTGCTGGAATTCAGAGGGCTCTGGGGAATGTTCAGGGGCTGGAATTGCATCATTAATTGTAAATACGTTGATGGAGAAGAGAGCTCTTGGCATCCTGGGCTCCTGCAAAGCAGTTCCAGCCACAGTGTAGCTGGGAATTCACATCCAGGCAAATCCATGCCTGGAGTGACTTTCACTGGCCTCAACAGCTTCTTATTTTTGTATTTGTGTAAATTATTTAGATTCCATTTACTTAGATCCTCCAGCCCCATAAGTAATAGTGCTGCGTGTCCCTGCCAGGCTGCTGCAGGGGCAGATAAATGTCTTAATTCACAGAAAATGCTTTCTCTGTGTCGAGGCTTTTGTAATACACTTAGACCAAGCAGCTGATGGGAAAGGAATCAGTCCAGGTCCCAGGAGACTTCCCTTTGCCTGGAGAGGAGGGCAGGAAGCACCTGCAATTCCACAGAGGGGGATTCCTGAGCTGAATCCCACTGGGGTTCCACACAGCTGGGGAGGGTGGGGGAGCCTTTGCAGAGCTCGTGGAGCAGCTCCTGGGGTTATTCCTGGGCTCTCTGGATGGAGGTGGTGCCTGGCAGTCCATGCTGGGACAGGCCATGTGCGTGCTGTTGGTTATGGAGAATGATTTTTATGGCTCCAGGTAATGAAGGACGCGGCTCCAGAGCTGAACGTGAGCAGCTCAGAAGCTGAAGAGGAAAGGGAGGAAAACAAGCCAGAGGGGGAGCAAGATCCTGATTTTAACCAGGTAGAAATGAAAAATCCCATCAGGTTCCTTGATTTTTGTATCCTCTTGAGTCAGCACGATGGGATCGCCCGTCCTCCTCCTCTGCATCTCACTGGCAGCGGAAAATTATCTTAAATTGTCATTTGACTTGTGAAACCACACCAGTGCTGGGTTTGGAGAGATTAAATATGGATAAGGATTCATGTGCATGTGGAAATCTGCCCCACGTTGTCATTAGGACTAGGAACTGAGGTTTGAAGGCAAATCCTTTGTTCATCTCCACACTTGCATGCTTCAATTGGCTTTCCAAGGGGTTTTCCATCGCTTCCTGCCTCCCCTCGCGTGACCAATTGGCCCCAAACCCTCTCAGGGATCTGGGAAGGTTGTGTTTATCCCTAAACAACTCCACTCCTTGTTGTTTGCCTCGTCTCCAGGCCAACGGCAGCGCCAAACGCCAGAAGCTGTCCCAGCAGAGCTACATCACTTACCAAAAACAGGGAATCAGGAGGAGCACACGGCACCGGAAGGTCCGGGGGGAGAAAGCGCTGCTTGTGTCAGCCAACCAGACCCTGAAAGAGCTGAAAATCCAGGTGAGGCCGGCTCTCCTGCCAGGAACGAGGCAGGAAACACAAAGTGGGGGGTTTGGGGGCAGGGGAAGGGTCTGGCTCCCCCAGGAGCTGGGGACGGCTGCGGGGCGTCAGCTGTCCGTGTGTCCCCAGATCATGCACGCCTTCTCCGTGGCCCCCTTCGACCAGAACCTGTCCCTGGACGGGAAGATCCTGAGCGATGACACGGCCACGCTGGGCAGCCTGGGAGTCATCCCCGAGTCCGTCATCCTGCTCAAGGTACCGGGATTGGGGAGCGCTGTGGGAGCAGGGAGAGCCAGGAGAGGCACGGGGGGTTCTGTGTGGAAATGGGGACACGTGGAACGCCCTCCTTGGAGGGGAATCCTTAATTTTTTTTGTCTTGGGGAAGGAAAATCCTTATTGTTTTTTGTTTTGGAAAAGAAAAATCCTTATTTTGTTTCAGAGGAGGAATAGCCTGAGGTGTTTGAGGGGCTTTTTTTGGTTTTGTTTTTTGTTTTGGAGGAGGAAAAGCCTTAATTTTTTTATGTTAGGGGAGGAAAATCCTCATTGTTTTTGATTTGGAGGAGGAGAATCCTTAATTTTATTTGTTTTGCAGGAGGTAATTCCTTTTTATCTTTGTTTTGGAAGAGAAAAGCTCCCTTTTTTTTATTTCCAAGCGTGCTTTGTAGCTGATTTGGCTGGTGAGCTCTGTGGGTACAACCCAAAACAGGACTGAATTAGGGAGTGAGTCCTGATTCCCATCGAGTTCCCGGTGTTTGGGCACGAGAGCTGTTCCTGTTCCCTGCTCCTCTGCTGAGCAGAGCCGAGGTCCCCCGGATCCTGCCCTTGTTAATTCCCTCTCCAATGTCCTTTCCAGGCTGATGAGCCCATTGCAGATTACGCAGCCATGGATGATGTTATGCAAGGTGAGAGGGGTGGGGAAGGATTTGGGTTGGGAAGGTGGAAAATGGGGATTGTGACACTTCCTTGTCACCACCTGTGGAATCCTCAGAGTGACTTCTAATGCCTGCCTTCCTTTTCCATCCCAGTTTGTATGCCTGAAGAGGGATTTAAAGGTGAGTCCAGGTGTTCTGCCCCCTTTTGTATCCCCTCACGTGAATTCCACCCCGTTCCCATTTCCCTGCTCATCTGCTGGTGATGTCTTTCCTTCCCAGGGACTGGTTTACTTGGCCACTAATGGTTTTCCAAGAGGAGCAACCAGAAGGGAAGAGGATTTGTCACATGGTAGGGCATTAAAAGAATAAAAACAGGTGGATACAGTACTTTTTGACTCTTCCAGAAGGCAAAAGTCCATCATGAGACGTTTGCTCCCCAAAAAACAAAACAAATGCCTTATGTCAAAGCAGATTGCACTGAAGGACATCCTGCTTCAGGACAGCGTTCCTGGGTTTATTTAATAGAGAACAGGAGGGTTGGGAAGTTGAGCAGCAGTTGGTGTGTTTGGGATGAGGGCTGGCCCCAAGCCTGGCCACAAAGGGGTCCAGTAGATCCAGACCACCCTGGTCATTCTCCAGTAACTCTTTAGGATAATCCTGTCTTTGATCCACTCTTATGCTTTCAGTCCAGCATGGAAGCACAGGAATTGTGACTTGGTGAGGAGTATCTGGCGCTTTCAGACAACAAAACTTCATTTACTTAACCTGAAATGGAAGCTGGGCTCTGCCTCCCAAAGCCTCCCAGTGACTGGGAGCTGCCCCCCCTGCCCTCATTTCCACACCTTGGACAATCCACCACCCACCTGGGCTCTGGGAACTGTGGGCTTTTTTAGAAATGTGGGATATTTTAATGAGTCTGGAGAACATTTTCCTCCAGTCTGGCGCTGCTGGGAGCGTTCCTGGCTCAGGGCAGTCAGAGCTGGCGAGGGGGTGCAGGTGGCTGCCGTGTTTCCCATGGGAAGAGCTTTTCCTACTCCTCTCTCCTCATTTTTCAGCAATGCACTAAATTTTTATTTCTTTTTATTTTTAATCTCCCAGCAAAGTTTTCTCCCCATTTAACATTTAGCAGGAAATAGTTTCCCACTTCCAGACTGATCCACACTGAGCACTGCCAAGGGATCTCTTTATTAGAGATCCTCTTCCTTTCCAACCTTTTCCTTTGTCTCCACAGAAAAACACAATGCAGAGATCACATCAGTTTTACTTTTTCAAGGTTTGCAGGAATTTGGGGTGCAAGAAGAGAGTGGGGGCCACAAATTCCATCCCCAAAGCCCCACTGGTTTTGATTTCCAATGTTTTTATGCTAAGAATTCCAGTTCCTCTTTGCCCGGTGCCTTCCTCCCTTGTCCCTGCCAGGTTTGGGGGTGAAGCAGCAGCATTTGAGGGGCTCTGAATTTCCTAAAAAGTGATTTTTATGGGTAGTTTGAACCCGTGGATTCTTTCCCAAGGTATAGACATGGCAAATTCCATTGCCAAAGCCACAGGAGGCTTTTCTTCCCAACCTGAAGCACTCGCTTGTGTACATATTCCTTGGAAATTCCATCTTTTCAAGTTGCTGTTAATTTTTTTTAATGTTATATATTAAAAAGTCTCTTCTTTGAGCTGACACTGTTGTGGGGAGGAATCCCATGGGGTGTTCCAGGGCTGTGGCGGTTCCGGCAGTGCCGGGTCCTCTGGAGGATGCAGATACAAGGTGTGAGCCAAGGCCCCGTTCCTGTTTTGTCTGTTATTTGCAAATATTATCAGATTAAAGTTGTCACTGGAGCTGTGGCAGCCTCTGTACAATGTGGACATATGGGCTGAGGGTGTTGGAGCAAGGTGGATGTGCTTATCCCATAAATCCCACTTGGAGCTGTCCCAAAAAGGAGTGTGGGCACTGCAGGGTGGGGTGGGGAGCAAGAGGGACCCTGCTGGAGCAGGAATTCCCCCTCCTTTGCACAGGGAGGGAATAGGGTCTGGAGCTTGGGCACTATGTTTGGTGGCCCTGGCCCTGTCACCCCCACCCCTGTCCCCACCTGGTGTGTCCCTGGGGGGGGCTCTGGGGGATGGGGGTGCCAGGGAGGGCATTAGAGAGGGGAGGGGGGGG